ATAAATTTTTGTGACAGTTCCTCTAGTGAAACTGTCACCTGGGCAACTTTTTTTATTCTTTTATTTTATAAAAGCCGATAAAAAACTATTTTACCTAAGATACTCTATTGAAATTTCATTAGAATCAGTGTTTTTAAAAATAAGTTATAGGATTTATTCGATGGAGAAATTTTTTTTTAAATGGTAGTTTTTTAAAAAAGCGTAATTGAGAGATATTTGTCTAAATTTCAAAATTAAGGGTTTCTTTTCATTATTTAGTGACTCTAAGGTTGTTCACCGCTTTGGCTGTCTTAAAAAATTATACAAAAAAAAAGAGGAATAAAACTTTGCCAAACGGCTTGATATAAGTCAGCTGATAATTAATAAATAATTTCTGATTAACGTAAAATTACCAAAATAGATGAATAAAAAATCATTAACACAAATGTAGTCTGTTTATCTTGACGAATACAACTGTTTAATTAAATACAAAATCTGACTATAATAAATTTGATTTTTGTCAATAAATTGAATAATAAAAACTTAACTATACAAAGTAATAGTTAATAAATTGCATGAACTGTATCGTAACTCAAAACTTAAAAAAAATAAAGAGAGAATGTGAGTAGGATAAATTTGAGGGTTACTTTTAATTCTGGGTGTTATTCGAGAGTTATAAAATAACATAAATATCGACCATTATTGATTTTTAAAATCTTACCTGATAATTTTTCTTGGTTTTTATGATATCTAAAGTAATGGTGTTATTAATAAATGACTGATAAATAAAATAACACAATTCGATTTAGTTCACAACTTTAATAGGTAAAAACTTTGACAATGATGATCACAATGTTCGCGTAACGTTGTCTAGAACACGATAAGAACAGGCCAGAGAAAGGTTTGCTCTGCCTTTTTAAAATACTTTGTACCCCCGAAAATCATCATTGTCTCATTCTTACATTATTACCGTTTGTTGATATGTAAGCATAAAATATAGAAATTATTACTGATAATTAGTATACAAATCATTTTAACATTTTATATATAATTATCATGGATTTCTATAATTAAGTTTAGGGTTAATACAATACGTTTAAGATTATATTTAAGATTAAGATTAAGATTAGAATAAAAAATATGACAAATATAATTTACAGATTTCTTCTCGAAAAGAGTTAAAATATTACTAAACAGTATGCGTTTGTTGACTATATTTCATAAATTTTTACTAATATTTTTAGTTTGAAAAGGATTATGTTCTTCTAAGAATATGAACATAATGTATAAATATCACATGTATGGTAGTGACGAGTATATTACGACAACTGACACCTGTGTGACTATACAAAAATACTATGCAAACTAAATATTATATTTTCTGCAAGTTTGACATACTATAATTACATCAAAAGTATATATCACAATCATTGTAGTAGGAGCCTTTGCATTATAATGTTGTAGTGAGTAGGGTAATTTAGGGGACTTTGCGGCCCCCCGCCTCACCCACTCACCTTCCTTGCGGTGGAGGGAGTGTACGGGGGGATTAAATCTAACGTAAACTAACCTAATGGAATNTGCGGGGGGAGGGAGAGGATGAAACCCAATGTTTTCTAAGAATTTTATCATCGACTAGCAGACGCTTAGGTAAGCACATGTCTGACATCAAAGGTATCATAATATTATATCGCTCATAAGCGTCTGTAATTTTATGGGAAAAAATTGTGACGCTGTCGCTGTATTATTAAATGTACAAATCATTTCTAAGAATTTTACCATCAACTACCAGACGCTTAGGTAAGCATATTTTTTTAATATTGAAGATGTCGTCATATAGTAATAATCATTATCGTATGAATTTTATGAGAACAATGGTATCGTTTTTCGTTATGGCATTATAATTTCTAAGAATTTTACCATCGTCTACCAGATGCTTAGGTAAGCATATTTCCGACATCAAAGGTATCATAATATTATATCGTTCATAAGCGTCTGTAATTTTATGGGAAATAATTGTGGCGCTGTCTGTGTATTATTAAATGTGTAGCTATAATTTCTCAGAATTTTATCTTCAGCTACCAGACGCTTAGGTAAGCGTATTTCAAACATCAAAGGTACCATCGTACAGTAACGATCACTCTCATATGCATTTATTTTTTTACATAGTATTTAATCTATCTGCTTTTAATTTATGTAATAAATAAATGAAATATAATAAGGATAAGGTACTAAAATAAAAAACACATTTTCTTTAATAATCAAATATATATTTAAGTAATCATTAGTGTTTTAAAAATAAAATCTTTTACATTATTTTTTGAAAAAAAACAAATTATAATATTTTATGAACTTCATTAGTCATAGGATTATATTCAAACATTTTGTCGTGTACAATTAAGCAATATGCTGTAGTGTTGGTCGGAAAATTTTCATCAGATTCAAATTCTAATCTAATATCTACTGGCGCATTTTTTAATTTTTCGTTTTGCCTCGAACAGTCAATGACAATGAGTGGTGCAGTTGTCTTGAATTCTGTTTTTGTCAGCATAGGACACGCCATCTCCTTTTCATAGAACGCCTCTTGGAATTGAGTGTACATGTGATATGGTACAGCATACTTATCATTTGAAAAGTCCATTCGCAAGTTATCATAGGGGTACGATTCCGAATTCAAGTATACTTTTAGAGATGATAACGAACAATGGTCAAATCTACTACTATCTTTGTTTATTTTGTTTTTTCTATCCACTTGAAAAGCTACAATAACAAATCTCGGGCTCTCAGTCTGCGATGAAGTTTTCACAGTCCAGGCTTGTCTTTTACTATTTGGTAGGCCAGGATTTTCATATAGATCCCAACTTCGAAATGCTATTTGAAGCGGTGTTGAGGTTTCCAGGATTTTGAGCATGTCTAACCGCATGGCATCCGACACACTTACATGCGGAACTTTCCATATAACTTTGCTCAAAATAATTTTACAACTTGATAAATTTTCATTTGTCGAGTAAATACAGTTTAAATCTGTACCACTCCGTTGCAATATTAAGTCTTGACGACAATTAACGATGACTTTTTTATGATCCTCGGCAANTTCTAAAATATCGTCCATTGTTAATTGTATATCCCAAAGCAGATAGAATGTCAAGGTTTTCACGTCGTATCTCTTCAACTAATCGTTGTTTAATGATTGGTTTTTTAATGTTACTCTTGGTTTTATTGAATCGAAGAGCCATCGCGTATATGTATACGTATGGTAACAGGCTCACCTCTAAAGTTAATTGCTTTATCGTCTTGATCTGTTATTTTCACTGTTATAGAGTATAGTTGATTGGATATTAATGGATAGTATATCAAATTTTTA